AGGTAGCGCTCACAGCACTACAATTTGGTGGGCTCTTCACCCATTTTGAACAACGTTCGATAGCGGATGTATTTATCAATATCACAGATATTAATTCATCACTCAGATGCGTTTTGGGTCGCGTATCGCTATACTAGGGGGGTCAAAGCTCTTCATTCACGCAAAAAACCTTGACGTGAGTAAATTTGATGTCAGTGCTCCTTTAATGGCGAAACTCCCAATCCCAAGACGTCGAAGTTAAGGAGTCCCATACAGCTGGACCGATGGACGCTTGCGAAATGAGTACGTCATCGCAAGCACATTCTGCCGTGGTCAGCTAGGACAGCAGTATACTAGATAGCCCACAGCTCGCGTTATTATATCCATCACTGTACAAATCGGTGCGCGTATACTCTAGGTCCGTTCGATTCACCTGCACCGGTTGAAACTGGTTCATGGCTGTGCACGCGAAGTTCAGAAATTGTGCAGCGCGAGTTCAGCGGTGCAGGCACAGCACGACACCCGAAACACATGACGATGTGTTGACAAGGTGTTGGCCTTATTTCTTTTCGGTTAATTTACACCATTCAGCAAACACTGACCTATGGCGAAACGCACATGCGGTCAGTTTATGAGGCGCAAACATCTTGGCAAAACACACCGCATTTGTAGAGGCGGGTACAGCGCCTAAGTCACCTACGTCTAAGTGCTGCGTCGTCTGCTCAGCTGCACGCGTGCCTGCACCAAGCCGGCACCGTCAGCAAAGGAGGTGCAGGAAAATTGTGAACTGGTGCTGCACCTCTTCTGCACCTTTCGAAACGAATGGCAGGGTTCAGCGGTCGTCAATGCTGCACCGCTGAAACGAATGGTAAGGTGCAGCACCTCGTGAACTGGTTCACGTGGTGCAGGCGAATCGAACGGACCTTCTGAGAGCGAAGCAGAACTTTAGGAAGAGGGCGCGTGCAGTTTGTGATGATGATAGTTTTCGTTCATGACTAACGGGATTATCCCGAGCATTAACAGCTCCGCTGCTATGAAGAAGGGTGGTGACTGTAGCGTATACGTACCAATTGATGAAAGCTGCAGAACTTTATGGGATCGATGCAGTTTTTTTAAAGGCTAAAAAAACTTAGGCAGCTTGTGTGCACTGAAATTGACCTATGCTTGAGGCTCGGGCAGGTTTAAATACATGCACTACCGGTCACGTTAAAGTGATTTTTTTTATTACTGTGCCAGGGTGGTGCATCAAAATATTCCTCCCATGTCATGTGGCTGGATGTGTATTGAAAAAACGGGACGTTATGTGAACGTTCGTCACGTTGTAATGAAAATAGTTCAAAAGGCACACCGACGTTTTCTTTGTTCTGATATTTTCGTGATTGTGAATGCGCGTGCCAGATTTCTGTTAAATCACGTTTATCGCCAAGCACAAAAACCAACGCATGCGCAAAACAACTGAAGCGTTTAGGATAAGCAGCAAGAAAATATGTGCTCGGCAGACACCTGTCACATTGTCAAGGGAACAGCCATAACTTATCGACACTTCGTAACGTGTCCATGTAACTCGTATTTACACGACCCACACTGGCGCATTATACCGGTTATTGTTCTCTTGTCCGTGACTTAGGTTGTTCCTTGTACGACACGTGTCGCCTTCATTAAGGTTTCCATGGTACGGCAGAACTTGTCCGTCTTATTATTACAGCGAAAGCTGTTATGGGACCACAGCAAGGGTCACTAGCGCCGTTGTCCACCACCGGTGTCCATTACCACTATTGCACAAATAATAAAAAACTAAGTAAATAAAAACACTAATGACACAATGTAATTCGAACCCCGGTTTTTCACGGGCAAAACCAATATTTCACCACAGGGCCATGCCGGTGCTTGAAGTTTTGTTGAAAACTGGCCTGAGGCAGGCTTGATGTCGGGAAAGAAATTGCGTTATTATTAGTAATGAAGCGTTTTATAACAGCAAAGGAAAAACTAGGTGTCACTCAATGCTAATTGCGTAACGAGTGGGTCGTGGAATGCAGCAACCCATTACAAAAGCCTCCGGCATATTGCTTCGTCATCATCAGCCACAGCATGAAAAAATTGCGGAAAAGTTCTAGCAAGTGTGTAGTGGGTACCACGCTTCTCAGAAGAATGACGAAGTATGGCATAGCGAATACTTCCCTACTACACAAAATTTATGACTGATGGCGTAGTGGGTACCCTGCAAGTGCACTTTTAGCAAACCCAAAAAGTATTTAAAAAAGGCTCTGGAAGAACATTCTTTGAGCTTTCGCTATGACTACACTGCGCGTTCAACGCACGCCTGGCGTTTTTTTCGTGCTTTTGTTTTGTTGTGCGCTGTCATCATGGTCAAGTTCACACACACCCGACTCGCCATCCATGCACGAATATTAACGCGATAGCGTTGAAAAGCTCATTTAACTGTAATTCTGGTAGTGGCATCGGCTTTGGCGTCGTAGGCTGCAAGCGTCGTCTTGTCTTTGACCAAGAAATTGAGCGAGATGCAAATAAATAAGTCAATCAATAAACAATGAAATTCTTTGGTTCAAGTGACAATCGAACCCAGGCCATCTGCGTGGCAAGGCTTTTCTACGGCACAGCCACGCGACCGCTTGAAACTGCTTTGAAAAATAATAAAAAAGAATATATGAGCATCATGTAGTAGAAGGAGTAGTTTCAATGGAGGATGAAGTGTTTGAGGCCCGTATACTTAGATTTAGGTGCACGTTAAACAACACCAGATGATCAAAATATCCGGAGCCATATAGTACTACGGCATCGCTCATATTCAAATCGTGCTTTTGGGACGTAAAACTGCAGATATTATTATTATTATTATTATTATTATTATTATTATTATTATTATTATTATTATTGTTGTTGTTGTTGTTGTTGTTGTTGTTGTTGTTGTTGTTGTTGTTGTTGTTGTTGTTGTGGTTATCGTCCTCCACGCGTGCAATATTATGTGACAGAAGCGAAAAAATTTCATGCATTACAAAGCGCTCAGACATATTTATTCATCATATCATCAGCTGCAAAAGCATGAACAAAGTTAGCAGCTGTCTAGGTTTGCCTACTGTCTGACGGAAAAGTAGTGGCCTCTTCGCTGAATCGTAAAAAGAAGAAATATGGCGCAGTGGGCACTTAAACAACTATGCTTGCAGTAGGCATTCAGAGACGGTTAGAAACTGCCGATGTTACACCCACAGTCACGCGTTTTTTTACGACACGGTTGAGGCATAGAGTGAGAACCAAACCAGGCTAGCGATTAAGAAGGCGATGCGCGTGGTGCCCGATTACGCAGCAGGTTACCTTCTACGCCTCGTTACGGCTGTCGCTGAATCTCTCTATAGACCTTTGAAAAAAGAAAATCAACACCGTTTTAATACTTCCCTGCAGCAACGGGAAACTGTTGTTATTCCTTACATTCATGACGTAGGCCATAATCTTAGGCAGATGGAAATAAGGTTGGCGTAAGGGTGGTTGTCTCTGCTCCAGAGAAACTGTCAGAACTTATCCTATTCAGAAAAAAAAGTTGCAAAATAAACCATCGCAATGACTATGTTTCTTGCGCACAGAATGTTATATATAGAATACCTTTGACGTGTGGCCGTGGATACGTTGGATAAATCGAAATGTGCATTAACGAGTGGGTGGAAGAGCATGCTAGCAAGGTGCAGAAATACTCGAGTGGCCACCTGGTTATTCACTATAATGATTGGGGTTGTACCCTTGACAACGCATGCATTCATGTCACATCCGAGATTTGTTAACCAGAATGATTGTTCAGGCTGAAGAAATTAAACACGACCGTTTTGAATGGGTGAGCACACCGTCTATCTCACTTACATATAAAGAACTTCACTGTTTGGGTAGGTTTGATCGCTTGATAAGTAGGTTTCTTTGTTTCTTGCTTAGTTTATTTTTTCCCCTACATATGAGTTCACCTTTCGAAATAAACACCTAGTTGAAGTTGAGTCTCGTCTCTCTTGCGGTCGTGTGTGCTTCCTACGAAGATGCATCTGTACCAACTAGCCCGATTTACTTGTTTAAGCCGATCGCATTGTGCTCTTAACAGAGAAGATCAAGCGTCCTCTAAGTTGCTTTCCAGTGAATAATTTTTCAGGATAGTGCAGTATACATACATACTTTCGTGTTGATACGGAGGCCCATCAGCAATCATAGAGAGGCACGTACCTTGCGACACATCCTTCCGAATGTCAACTATAGAAGCGATGCCCCGTGCATATTCCTAAGTGCGCAGGAACAACACAAGGTATGAGCGTGCTTTACGGTTAAGTAACGGCTTAAAAGTGCTTGCCTTAATGAAGTTCAAGAATTACTTCTGTTAAATAAGCACGAATTGGTGCTGTATTGAATTCAATTTCTCCGTCTTTGCTATCGAGATCTTTCCATGCGTTACTGAAGCGCGATGTTCTATTGCCACGAAGATTAACTGATCCGGAACTGTCGACGGGATGTCCGAGGCGGAAGGACAGCTGAGAAGCAAGCCGATCAGCGGATAAGAAAGAGGCGTTGGAAAAATGGGTGAACACCGAAATGCAGGTCACGGGGCATTCCACAGTCTCTGATAGCATAGCACAGTGACCAATGAAAATATGCCGAACGCTTCGCCTGGTTACCACATTTCTTCAACTAGCGAGTGCAGTGGCGAGTTCTCCGTGTCAGCGCTATATTATAGAAGAAATATGGAAAATATTGTTTTGCGGGCATAAGCTCTGAGGGCGTGCCCTTGCTCTCGCCCTTTGGGAATTTTGTTATATGCTGAAGGTACACAGAAAAAAAAATGGCGCTCGTGCACAATTCGGGCAACTGTACCTGTCGATCGCTTACAAGCTGTACGAAAAGTATACATGGTGGCCGCTGTGGCAGCCGAGATTTCCGATGAAATATTAGTCAAAACTTCACTGAGCACTGCTATGTGCAGCGGGTTGGTCGTCTTTAATGTGGGCTCGAAAATTATTAACCGGAAACGCCAACAGTTCCACTTAATGAAATTCAAAATTTATTCGAACCTCCCAGCTTTTCGCTGCGCATCTACGGACATGCAGAAAAAGGGCGTGACTGAAGGGAGGGCACTGTGTACGCTTTAATGGGTCAGGGAAATGTGATCAAAGTGACCTAAACAAGGAGTTCGCTCTCATCGTCCCTGGTTCCGAAGGGTCTGACGCTTGTTGAAAGGATCCTCCTGTGCACCGTAGTAGTTTTCGCTGCAAAAGAAAAAAAAAAGGTACAACAGTCATCGCTTGCAATTTAGGGCACACTATATGTGATGCCCCTTGTTACCGTTCGATAGGAAGCAACCCGATGCCACAGCGTGCTGAAATAATGGCTACGTTCCGTCTGCGCCCGTATTTTCCGTGCACGCTTGTGCCAATTCAGTTGTTTGCATCTTAAGTTTATCATCTTCGTTTTAACACACGTGCGCTGAAGTAGCACACCACTGTCACACCCATTGTCGTATTGAGAGAGCATGCACTGAGCACGCCCAACACAGTACCCGAAAAACACTAAACTTTGCCATGGCATGATCAAGGGGTTGAGCCCATATATTTTGCATCGTATTTTTTACGCAATATACTCTGCCTATAGTGCCATCATTGCTGATCAGGGGGCCAATGAACTTCGGAGATATTGCACACAGCTTCACATCTAAAAAAAGGATAAAATTGGGGTTGAAATACATCTTTACAGCGACAAACGTAAACAGGTGACATCATTCCATCTTCACACATGACTGAATACCACCTCACTATGTTGGATGAAATTGCGCAGGCTCGCACAACTGCTCGAATTCACCGCATATTGCCGCCCCACACCCCTCATCTCACCTTCGTATTCCCCTTAACCATTCCATCAGGCTAGGGTAGCCAAGCAGACTCCTTCCTGGTTAACATGCTTCCATTATGTTTATCTGCTTCCGTCCATGGAAAGAAAATGCGATAATCTATGCATTTTTTCTCTCGTTCTTTCCTGAGCCAAGGCATTATTAAATTTTGTCATGAAACACGTTGCGTAAAACACTCACGCCTGCAAGCTTCTGCCGAGGTGTCGCTCTAATTTCTATAAAAGGGCGTTCGCCGGTTTAGCAGGAGGGCACGACCTACCAGCCGGGCACGTTGACGGGGTCGTCACAAGTCCTTGTGGAGGGGTTGAAGACAGTGCCTTCATCGCAGGAGAGGAGGCGTGGGAGTCTCTTGCCGTAGTACGTGGCCACGCACACAAAGTGTTTGGCGCAGTCGCGCGGGTGCGCATAGGGAGGGTTCACGAAGTCCTGGAGCTCGTACGCTGTCGGCTCGGGACACTTGAAGCCCAGATACGCTGCAAGAATATTGACACCAGAAGTATATAGTTCACAGTTAGCAAGAATCACTTGTCCATCGTTCCCGACAGGAGTGCAACGCGTTCCACCAATCAGTCGTACTCGCTGTATACAGCTGCAGCTAACTTTCATGCAAGTTTACCTTTTGATACGCTTTCTTCACACTACAGCGCTGATTAAGTAATAAGTGCTGAATGGTATGGCACCTCTAGTAAAAAGCATGTTAAAATGGGTATATAAGCGATGTATTCGACAATATGCAGCGGACACTGAAAACTCAAAGCTGACTTCACTGTAATGTACGTGTGTACCACGACAGAGCTACATAATAAGCGCCGATTTGAAAACGATTTTTCTCGTATAAGCTAATTATCCTTTCACAATGACAAAAACACAAATGTTGCCACAAGAATGCTCCTGGTAAGTGAGAAAATGCGAAAGTAAAGTGCTGGTGGCATCGTCTCATTGAAGTTTGCGAACTAACTCGCTGTGACGTCACAAATTTTGTCGGCGTGTGCTAGGAATTACAGATCTTTTAGTAACTGAAAGTAAGATACACTGGCTTTATAGGGGGCCAGAGGCATAGGGTAACAAGTATAACCAAATTTTCTTGGACCATTGTCGCCAGAACATAAAAAATAAACTTGCAATTCATGACGTCATGCTGACATACATATGCAATGATTTTGAGGCGAAAATTAAAACTGAACAATCAACCTTCAATATTACTTTTGTTAATAAACCAATGACAAAATAGTAGAGTTACCAAACAATATCTTATCTTTCCAAGTTATTTGTTTTCGTATGCTTGGGAATCTGAAAGGCCACATCCACCTCGTTTGTGCAACTTGTCAAATCTATAACAAGAATGCCAATGCCACAGTAAAAACTTTCTAAATTTTATGCACACAGAAACTCTGTCACCTGATAAGTAACTTTTGACGGGCTGATATTGCCATAAACCACGCAAGTACACCAGGTGTAGTTCACGTAACATAGGTTCGGTCAACGTATTGGCACGCACCTGCTGTTCATAAATGGCCAAAATTTAATGGTCAGATGAGCGACTGCCGCCAAGGTGCAGCTATTATAGCAATAACGTCAAACACTGGATAGCTGAAAGCTTAAATATAATTCTGGCAAAGGTGACTGATAAAAGAATATTATGGCTTGATGTAATGTAGAAGTATGATAGCTATAACTAAGTCGTTGTAGTGGACATACTGATATGTAAGGTGTGAGGCGCCATGCAATATAGCCAATGTTTGGCGAAGCTCTTGCCCAGTATTACTTCCCACGGATTCGCATTAATACATGAAATCCTATGACCGGCAGTCCTTTAATTATACTGACCAATTATCAATCCCTACGTCTTCAGCTCATGCGTAGCTACGTATATAGTTCGCGAAAAAAAAAAGAGACCGCTGTATCAGGTTAACAAGTAACAGTGGGCGATGCTAGCGGGCTTTATTTTTCGCCCCAGTTAACTTTGCGTGCACGTTTAGGCGCGTTAAGGTTTCATCGCGTTGCACTGCTTTTAGGACGGCTTGCTTCTTGTAGACCCCGCAACCATTTCTCACGAACTAGGTTAGGCGGGACTCGTGCCTAACTTAGAAACGAGCCTCCGTGCATATAGTAGGCCATAATATTTTTGTACGAATGCCTCAACAACAGGTACAGCCGGCCAAGACTTTAGCTATTGTGCGCAGCGGCCACTTTTTTGTCTGTCAGTGCCATATTATGGAACCAAGCTACAATAAATTGCTTCGTGGACGTGTGCTTTGTGGGCATACTCTTGTCCTTAATTCAACCGAAACTTAAATCAGCCGTATGGCAAAGATACTCTGAAGATTTGGGTGCACGTTAAAGAACCCCAGGTGGTCGAAATTTCCCGAGCCCTCCACTACGGCGTCTCTCGTAATCACATGGTGGTTTTGGGACGTTAAACCCCACATATCAAAGATACTCTGAAAAAACTGCCACTCATACACGATAGCTAAAGATTTGGCCGACTGTACATCGGCACTTAGCCACTAGTGACGCAACGTCACGTCATACAACTAATATGCTCGTTCCCAAAAAAGTAAGAGAATTTGAGGCCCTAACGGTAACGTTATGCTATAGTAAGTTTTAAGTTGATTGATTGATATGTGAGTTTTAACGCCCCAAAGCCACCAAATGATTATGAGAAACGCCGTAGTGGAGGGCTCCGATAATTTCGACTACCTGGGGTTCTTTAACGTGCACCCAAATCTGAGCACACGGGCCCACAGCATTTCCGCCTCCATCAAAAATTCAGCCGCCGCAGCCGGGATTCAATCCCGTGACCTGCGGGTCAGCAGCCGAGTACCTTAGCCACTAGACCATCGCGACGGGGCTAAGTTTCAAGTTAACACGCGCTGTTTTGAGATAAAATGTGGTACTGTATAGATTCTTATCGCAGCGACGAAAGCACAGCACTTATGTAAATCACTCAGCCAACGTGTGCGAGCACTTTTCACTTTACTAAGCGGCAGCATGCCCGCCCTAGCGAAACGCGTTGTTCATGCAAACGCAGCACGCTCTAGTGCACTGCAGCTGCGTCGCGTAATCGGTCGTGTCACGGGCGGCTTCTCTTCTATATCATAATGTGCGATCTCTAGTGTTAATATGCTAAAAAAGCATGAGACCAGACTGTCTGCATGAGTACTGCGTGGGTAAGCACTTTCGTAGTTCTCTATACCGTAATGCGAATGAAATTTATTTTTACCCCAATTTCACAAGTAAGCCGCAGCAATCATCAAAAAACCTTTTGGCTACACCCCCTTCTCCTGTCTGTCTCTATACTTCACGAAAACTGTGAAAAATCGTCACCTCACATTTTCCAATCGATGAGATAAAGAAAACCAGTCACGGCAAGCAATTAATGCTCGTCGTTTCAAACCTAAACAAAAGGGACCTCAAGTCAATTAGGTAAGCGTATGACTAAGCTGTTAAACAAAATTGGCTTCGGTGGTTTGTGCGTTCAAAATCATAAAATTAGAATAAAATCGCGATAGAATAGTTAGAATTCACAGAGCTCGTGTATTCCAGTTTCTGCGACGCGTTCATGCATTCAGCCTTGTAGGCTCAAAATTAGAATTGGTCAAAACGCTTCAAGAGTATTCGAAGTAAGGCGTGCACTTCGGCGTACATGTCTCTCTTTTCTTTCGAGCTCGCGTCTACATGAATTTCTTTTTTCTACCCGAAATCCACACCAGCTCACTCAACTTTCTGTCGTTCAAAATGTTAATAGCGTCTGGCATTGGCTGATCACTTTCACTTATACTCAATTTAGCATCATGATTGGTTGAATTTTTTCCCAACGGAGACATCTACGCGTGTTCGAGAATTCTCTCTCTAGCATTGCAGTAGCACACGCGAACCACATTCCGCTATTGATGTTGGATACACTATTAGCGAAGGCGACTGAGCCAATCTTGGTAAATAACATTTATGAATGAAAAAACATCTTTGTGAATTTGTTCCCGAACGGTAAAAAGCGCAAGACAGTACACCCACTGCTAACGCAAGCTCTAGTACAATGGCACCTTCAACACCAGATGCAGCAGATACCAGTTCTCTTGCAGTTTTTCTTTCTTCTATTAGGCACTATATGAAAGGCTAAAATAAATCATTAAAAATAACAGGTGCGCTGATAATGTCGAGGAAAATATAAAAGTGTAACTGTATCACGATTCTTCAAAATATTTGCTGTCGGCTGTGTATATTTCCGCACTGTTTTGGACGTGATAACAGAAATTCCGAAGTATATTATGGTCCGGTAGACTCGTGACGTGGCCACGTGGGGGCTCGCTGTTTTCATGTGGCGACGTCGAGCACTTCGAATACCGATTGCTTCATTTTGCAACGATCGTTGGTATTTATTAGGAACATGAAACTTCAGCAACAACTACGGAGAATCGCCGGCTTCATCACAACACGAAACGGTTAGATGAATTTGACTGATGCTCTACTTCTGTTTGTTGTTCAACTTCTGCGTTAGTGACGAATTAAAACTTTAAGTGCTCTGTGTCGATTATTACTTATTCCCCTTGTACACTCTCGTCTTAAAAATGACACCTAATGATACTGCACTAAGTCACCCAGCTGTTCTTACTTTTGTGGTAGTGTTGGAAGTAGTTTCACAATACCGGGCTCTTGTTGCTTTGTTTGTTTGTCTCGTTCCCCGTGCCATCAGGTTCTACTTGCAGGAATCAACTACCTGCCGAAATATGCGCGCTTGGCTGGAATCGCGATGCGCATGCCTGCGCGCAATTCGAAAGAGCAGTTCTCCTTTATTCATTCAGCAGGTGCGTTACCTTCGACGTCGCAGCGTTCCACCAGGTCGGGCCAGTCACAGACTCCGCGGCGCTCGTTGTAGGCCAGTCCCTCGGGGCAGTCAAAAGGGAAGCCATGACCGTCCACGCAGTTGTAGAACTTGCCGCAGTTGGCCTCGTCCGCGTACATACCCCAGCGACGGGGGCAGTTGCCCACGCCCTGCGCTGGTTCTGTAAGAGAGAGGCAGACTCCAATGATGCTCCGCGCGAGCAGCTCTTGAAGCGTGCAGATGGGCGCCCACCAAAATGGGACCCGCCGTGGGCGACCCACTGGTCCCGCTATGCTATGATACGAGGCAATGTTTTCTCGCTTCTTAACTCGACTCCCATATGCGCACAGCTCCAAAACAGAGGGAGACCACGCAGCGCCGTTCAAGGACGTAGAATTCATTACCTGACGGCGCCTGCTTTGTCTCTTCCCCGTGACGCGCGTATTTTCTAGCCGCTTCTTTCACACTGAAGAATGACCTGATTGATTAAAGCACGGCCGTGCCATTCATTTTTCTTCCATACACAACTGCCCATCTCCTTCTTCCGTGCTAATCCGCGAAGACAAAAAATTAAGAAGCATTGCTTTTTTATTAAAAAAATGATTGCTCTCACTTCGACTGGATTTTCGAGCTTCCCATTACGAGGCTGGTGCGTGCCACTCTCACGTCCTTCTGTTTCTTCTCCTATCACCCTGAACATTCGAGGGTGAGATCATGTTTTGTCTTGGACGCGCGCTTGGCATTCGTGACCACTAAGACCTCCGTGCGCCTAGTAGGCTGCGCTTACCGTATAGCGGATGCCCCCGAAGACCTTAACGGCTCAAAGTCTTTCCCACTGCTTTTCTGAACGCGTATAGTGCGTGCTGAAGTCTCTGGCAATGAGCTCTATGTATCCGCGTCTGACTTCACGCACAAGCTTCCTTTCGTTTTCGATATATGCTGCTTCTTTTAAAGTTATTATGTGTGCCAACGACGTAGTCACTGAACATGTAGTAAATACAAAGACAACAGTGACAATGCATGCCGTCGTTTTGTTTGTACAAGTGACGTGTATTCAACAAAGCGAGGGTTTAGAGTAAGTAAAAAAATAAGGCAGCTTCAAACCATATAGGAGTTCCAAGCCTGACGGAAGTGCGGAGCCTCCTTTGTTTCTGTTCGGTTTTTGTTTTTTATCCTCGTCGCTTTCTTTCTTTTTACTTTTTTGTATTTTTTCCATCTCTATTTTGATTTACCTGTTCCGCTCTGTGTATCTGTTTTCCGCTCTTTCTATTTTTCTTCCTGCTCTCTCTCTTTCTATTTCGTGCTTGCGTTCTTTTTTTTTATGCGTGGTTTTGCCAACGTTACGCCAAGCCAATCGCCATTAAGGCGGTCGAAGAGAAAGAGAAAGAAGGACATAATAGGCTGGCCCTCTAAAGTGATCTGTACTGAACAAAAACAATAAGCCTCCACTCGCATGCTCCGTTGGCTTGAGATTCAGCAATAGCTTTTTTTTTTGTTTTTGTGGTTTAAGTGGAGAAATATATTTGCGCATAACGTGGGCAGTACTGGAAGAAACATCTGGAGGACCTTTGTTGAAAAAAGAAGAAAACACGTTTCTCACGAGCCAAAATCCAATACGAAAGAAACTTACAATATCCAAAATGTAATACTATACAAACCTACATATGTTCGCGTATGTCATGCTATCTTACTAGATATATAAGCATGGGCCTTTCCATGTTGTTTTGCAAAACTTAATTTTTGCCGCTTGCTCTCTCTTCCTTTCTCCCCCTCCCCTTTTTTTTGCACATTTGTTTATAAGTTATAATAATGGGCTAACAAAATAAAGCCATTGTACTCTTTCAAAAGTTTGATGCCATTTCAATCGTTTACTTTCATTTTCGTCCGGGGTTTCTTTTTTAATTGTTAAATCAACTGTCAAGTTTGTACAGATAAGAATGAAGTAAACCAAGTAAGCAACGTTTTTGCCCTATGTCTTCACATCCAGTGCGAATAGATGAGTTGGGCGTGCCTGTGGTAGACAACGCATGGCGATCCGTGTTTTTCTGCTCCTAAAACTATTTCATATTAGTCGTCTAGAAACATCAGTTATCGCCAGATCTAAATCATTTACAAAGGTTTACTCAGCATTAATATCTCGCAGCACGCGATCATGTTCATCCAGCGTCATGCAGGCACAAAACACGAGAATTTGTGCGAGTTCTGACGCACTTGTTAAATTAACATGTAGCACGAAATTCAGAAAGTTGTCTGAAACAGTTTCACTGAGGGAGCCTATTTAGAAATGGATGCTATCATGTTCAGTGGTCGACCAACGTGAACTCCTGGCGCGGATGTGGTTACAGCAGGCGACAACGAAAGCAGACAAACAATTGCAGTCGTTGCACAGTGTTCTATAATATAAGCATCCGCTAGCACTACGAAATTATTCGCGATGCGAATTAATCACTCATAAACAATTACAAAGGCTAAGGGTAGGGCTTGAAGCCACGGTCTTGTTGGGCCGAGCCCGTCTACCAAAAATAAAGGGGCGTCCGCTGCTCTCTGGTCTGATACTCAGCAATAGATGTCCCCATACATCGTACCTCTTCCCGCACATATAGATTTAACAAGGAGTCCGCACATGTGCGCATCTCCTCGCCTGATCTTCTCTGCGGTACTGTTACTGGGCCCCCTCCCCATCCCCACTTATGCGCCGACTCACCCAGCTTTACATGCATGTACAACTTCATTTTCCCATAAAGATAGATCGCGAGTAAACGTTGACGTGTTACCTACTCTGTGCAGACATTTATAAAAGACCAAATATGCATACAAAATACACTAAATTTAAACTTATGTAGTCATTTTTTGTAGGCCTCAATGTTTTTTTTTTGGCATGAGGCTCAAACGTATCTATGATGAGAATGACAATAATTTTTTTATTGTCCCAACAGTCTTGCATTTTTCCACTTAAACCACTAGAGCTGCTGAGTATGAGTTACATTGAATCGCTGCACAGTCTATTGCGTGGTCAGCCTTCGAAGGTAAACGACTTATTGTAAGCTAAAATATCAAATACGAGGTAAGGACACGTTATCTGTATACAGTCTTGAGTAGGTAGTAGAAATGCGCATCACCCTGGCCGAGATCAATGGTCACTTCACACTCACTTCAACCATCGCGATTACTCAGTTACACTTACACTACGCACATCCTGTAAAAGGAAGGAAGGAAGGAAAAACAGCTAGATAAAAGGCAGAGACGGTAACCAGACACTTTCCTGGTTCTACCCTATGCTGTGAAATGGAAAGGGGAGTATGTAGATGAGAGAGACAGTGAACAGCCGAGAAACATAGGAAAAAAATGGCAGGGCTTCAATATGTCATGAAGGTTGTGGAATAGCTCATAATTATCCTTGACAGTGTAAACTTACTCATTTACTTCCGGTATTCGCAGAGGGTCGTGCGACCGGTGAACGGATCTAGCTGAGGCACGTGCCAGTGGCCTGTAATACCACGCAACTGCCACCTGTACAATTGCTGTAATGCTAGAACGATGTCTTCTTCAAGTCCGAAGCCCCATTGCAACGAAGCCCCATTGCAACTCGTGGCATCACTGATGTGTACATTATTCACTGACAGCGCTATCGATTTATAGAGATTCCTAAGCCTCACCAGTTGTTTGATAAAGAAAACAAATGAAGGCAGAAACTTTTTGTTAGTATGCCATAAGCGGCTGCCACGTCATGTGGACAAGAATAGGCGTTCGCTGGCGGAAAGAAGGCACTTAGTCACTGGAGGGGGGGGGGGGGGGCTCAATGTTTGCTCCATACAATGACTTAGTAGGGGAAGGGGTGCTGTGATAAACATCCCCTTCCTTTCTGATGAGAACATTGCGCCACCCTATGTGGACAAGTATCGATGATACGTCATGCTTTGACTGTGCACGCACATGCGATGAGTGGCCCAAAATCTGTGATGGTTTACCGATGCTTACGTAAAAAGTAAAATATAGACAAGAATGTTCAGTGGAGAATTTCTTTCCAATTGCTTTTTTACGTTTTACTTGGCCTCGGTACAATACCCACAAAGGTGTCCCTGTTCTTGCTAACCATCCCTGTTTCTCATATGCTGCAGAAAGCAAGGGCAAAGCGTGCTCAGGTAAAAAGCGGGGGTGGGTGGGTCTATAGAGGACATGTACAGTACTCACGGATTGAAATAGGACATTCAAAGCTCGTTGCCGCCGGCACAAATAGCGCAGCTTGTGGGTGCTCGGGGAACTTATGAGTTGCATTGTGGTATAGAGCGAGGAGAAGAACATCTGCGGAGCAGAATTGCTGCTTCTGGTCGCCAATGAGTCGGCCTGTAGTTAACCATGCGCACATGCACTACTGGCGTGGCGCTGCTAGGCTAGCACGCTTTCGCACGCCGAAATAAATGGATCGCCGGTAGCCACCCATCGCTAGTGAACATATACTGCAGCGCAATGCCCTATAGAGGACTATAGTCCTGCGGCTTTCGGTGATGCGGCACACATGTTTTGTAAGTAAAAAACACGATTCGGCTAAGAGATTGTCTCGTGCGTGTGCGTTTGTGGGCATGATAAAGCTAAACATCTGTGTAAAAGCATAGCGAGTTAATTTCGTGCTTTCTGTCACGACAAAAAAAGAAGAAGCAGTTACAAGCCTATAGCAGCGCCTCGCTGGCATGGCGCACATATGGTTAACTACAGGCGAACTCATTGGCGACCGGAAGCAGCGATCCTGCTTCGCAGATGTTCTCCCCCTCGTTCTCTACCAAATGCGACACCTTGGTTCCCCTAGCACCCACGAGTTGCGCTATCTGTGCTGCTGGCCCCACCCGTTCCGAGTATTCTATTTCAATCCGTGAGTACCGTACAGCCTGCGCTGGGGAGCTGCCATGTGGAACGGGGACAAGCAATTTCCTCAAGCTTCTTTGAACCACAGGCTTGAAACCCAGTCTCGGGAATGTGTTTGCTTTGTGGGCACTTCGTGAGTGAGGATCAGTGCAGGGCTTGGCTGAAGGGATACGCAGATATATCCTTCGGAGACTTACGCATGTATGGCCGGTTCTGGCAGTTGACGCTGAATGGAAGGTCGCAGCGCAGATGCTTGTAGCTGGCCTCTTCATTGAAGACCAGCCCATCGGGACAGAAACCTTGTGTCACCGTGCCATTCCTGCACTCGTAGTAGCTGTCGCACTGTGTCTCGTGCGGGAAGTAGCCGTTGGTCGTGCACTGGCACCGGCCTGAGGAGCGGACGGAGCCATCGCACAGCGTTAGTGCCTGCCTTGCGCACACAGGAGCACGAAAATGAGAATTACTTCGCGCCTCCTTTTCTGCAGCCACGCGTTGCACAACCAGTGCTTTTGCGGGATTGTGCATGTGCTCATTTTGAATTTTGTAACGGCCCTTCACTGCTGTGGCCTACGTGGCACAAGCCTGCCCTATTCCGCATTTCACTCTGAAAATACACTTTACGTACCTATTGCCAATCAGAGGATATTATACGAGAGAAAAGAAGCTAAAGTTTTCAAGGAAGCGACACAATGGTCCGACGACATAGGTTCCAAACTGATTATTTCACATAAATGCGCACCTGTTGTATCACGCATTATTTTTGGCAAATCATGTTTACGAGAGGTTCCTATTTTTTCCGATAAAAGTTGGCAGGTGAAGGCATACTGGCTACAGCGTGAAATTAGTGCGAGAGCTGTCCTTAATATTGGCGTACGCTTGTCCACATAGTCAAAGAACCCATCGGGATGAAGATAAGAGAAGTTCCAACAATATATTCTCGTAATTCTCTTTTGTGTCGTACATTTCCAGGTGTCACAAAATTAGCATAACAATGTTATCGTTGATGCTTCACTCACTAAAAATAAGAACACAATAAAACCTTGAAGGCCAGTTCTTTTACGTTGAAGAGTAGACGAACAGCTCTGAATTCGGGACGAAGTGCCAGGACAACGCAGAGGGGACTTCGTCCGTCGTCTTGCATACTTCGTCCCATAACTGTTGCGTGCACTGTTGTTCGTCCCTTCTTCTGTTGAAGCCTAAGTGGGCGCGAAAGTTGCGGCCTCATTTTTTAGTATTGTTTTGTGCACTCTTTCAACAATCGTGTTCATTCCGTGAGAGTGCTCAAAGTGTAAACTAATGTTTCCCTAATCGATAACTATCTGTACTTCGTTAAGATGCTCAATAATGGTGCTATTTACAAAAAATTCAAATAAAGAAGGAGCGAGTAAGAAAAGAAATGTTGCGTTTGTTCACTTGTCGGCACACGTAGCCACACAAAATCCGGTGGCACAGACCGTATGCGCGCCCGCTGACGTATTTCAAAGACGCGTTGGCTGGCACGAAGTTACGGGTCAGATTTTTGGTCACGATAATGGGGCCATATTTCGCCATGTGATCGAGATGCACTACTGCCTATCAGTTATAAAAGCAGCCGCACTACTCAATGGCCGAATTACCTCCCGGGAATGCGGTGCACGTTAACCTACACAGCCTCGTTTCTGTGGTGTGCATGCTTAATTTATGTGGTTTCACACGTGAAAAGTACTTGTAAGTATGAAGCACGCTATATTTAGTGGGGAACTTCTCATTAATTTCAGACCACCTAGGGCCCTTTAACGTGTACCACCTTAATACAAGTCCAAGGGTATTCGTGCACTTCTTTCCCACTGAAAAGCGGCTGCTGTGACCGGGAATCACACCCGCGTCTTGCACCTTAGCAGTTCGTCATCTCACTTGCTTAGCTACGATGCCGAGTCCCGGTGGCGCATTTCCTGGAAATGTTGCGATACCCAGTCATGGGTTCGCTAAACAGGACGTACGTTGAATCGTTTCATGCATGAGTCACAGATAAATAAAATAGCAATCGAAGGTGTTAATAAATAAGGCACCCGACCAACCACACAACTGTGGTTCCACGAACTCTGCTCCTGGTATACGAAACAAATTTATCATTGCCAGCAGCCCTTGAAGCAGGGTCCAGCAATGAGCTCAGAATGTGTATACGCTTTGAGCAGTAAATCTAAGACAGATCAGATGCGGTATAGATGGTGTTTACCGACAGAACGACTTCGTCCTTGAGAGACGGCAAAAGGATTTTGGCAAGCGGATGAAAACTTCGAAGGCACGGCTTTCCTGCTTTTGGCTTACTTACGATCCGGTGCCTATGGGCTGGATGGCACCATCACCTTCAGCACGGTGTTTGCAGTCGTTAGGAGAAAGCCAGACGGTAGACTTTTCAATGTGCGCAAAGGATTTGCCCATTCGAGGTTACAGACTTCCCTTGGCTTTCGTTCCAATGCCGGTGTTACGAAAGTGTTGACAAAAGCGCGCAGGGTTGCGCATGCACAAAGTTGCCTTCTTCTGGACCTACTTGTACAATTGCGCCGATTTTCCTAACGCGTATAACCTTATGCAGCGCCGTACATCGGTGTCTCGTTTCTACGGTAAAAGCACTTATACAGTAGAAGCACAACGCGTATAGAGAATCGTGCTTGAAGTAACGTTTCCAAAAACTGTATAACAATAACAACAGAAACAAAGTCACGCGGTAGATATGCGTAGTTTATTCCACTGTATTACATGACAACTTAAAATTGAAAATAACTAATGGATGCTAGTATTTCAATAATAGATTTTTCCATATAGAGTACTTGTTTATCTTTAGTGCATTTCCACCACGTAGCCAATTTTCTCATGTTCTACAGGCTGAAATATTGATGAAGAGTCAGACATATACGCGTATAATAGTTCGTTTGCATTAAAGCTGCTTTACTTTGTGCTACTTGAAAACAATTTTGAAGTATGGATTTTGCGGATACAACAGAAATATTTATTTGACGTTTGATATTTTTTTAATTGCCGAGCCAAAGTCTCCCGTGTGTGGGCCCAAAATTTCAAGCAGAAACATTTAGCCGCATTTAGTCTGTGTTTAATTTTTAAAATTTAATTCTTGCTTCTAAGGAACCTGTTTGAGAATCTAAAAGAAATTTGTAAGTTTCTCACATCACCAATGTACATAGCCTTGAAGCTCCGCCAAAATGTCCCTCCAGATGCGGGTTTTATTTGTGCGAAGTTGTATCTTGATTTATTCAGTGGTTTAAAGACAGAAATAGTTTAAGTTGGCAATTATCGAGAAGCACTGCAATTAGCGCAGAATTCACAGTCACCTATGGTGCTGGCCCGAAGGTATGTTTGAATTTTTCCGGCATGCCATGTTTATTCTAACGCACATTTTATTCCCATGCGTTTTCATTCTCTTACACCATACATACCGTTCCGAAGTGACACGCATTTGAGTTCCTCAAGAAGCTCGAAGAAAAACATGACAGAGAATTGCTGATGTCACTCAACACGCCTAATGACTTCATTCGTTTCTACATTCTTTCACACCCGTTACCATTGATACGCTGGACATTTTCTAAAATATTTCTTTGCACAAACTCTAATGGTTCAATCTGTAAACCCCTGCCACATGAGAAGGCACATTCACCATCACATCTATACACAATCATAGCTTCGCAGTAAAACAGGAAAAGGGGAACACCATGGAGTCTCGTATCTTTGCACGCAACCTCCTCAGGTCAAACGGTTTCCGTTACGAACGACGTACGACATAGTTCAGTGCTCAAACGATTAATTGCCGAGTGAAGCCAACTACACTTGCAAAAATATTATTCCTCGGATAGAGCTCGGCAGTTCTTCGGTGACCCCTGACACTGTACAGATATACAAGGGGCGTGCTCACCTTTTGCGCAGATAGTTCATTTACCGTTAATACTCAAAAGCCTCCTTCATGCGATGCCTCTTACGATCGATGCATTTTCGATGGAGGCGAAAACTCTATAAGCCCGTGTGCTCAGATTCAGGTGCACGTCAAAGAACACCAGGTGGTCGAAATTTCCGGAGCCTTCTACTACGGCGTCTCTCATAAAAATAGAGTAGTTTGGGGACGTTAAACCCCACATATCAGTCAATAATCTTACGATCACTTGGTGCTCCGAGTGAACAGAAAAGTGCGGTCGTATATGTCAAGTATTTTACAGCGGTCAAGGCTTTGTGATACCTGTTTAGGCTGTAAGCATGCGTTCAAGGACAAAACGCGTCCCACGAATTCGTCTGAAAATGAAATTGCTTAGCTAGAATGTTTGCTCCGTGCATGCGCGTTATAAGCATGCCTTTGAACTCTCTTATTTTCTCAAGAATTTGCCCGGACCTCCGCAAAATTTGCAAGTGGCCCCAAGGTGTCATGAGGGCGCATTTCTTCTGCAGCTTTTCCACCGAACCACAGAATCGTTCGTATCACTTAACCCTGAGTATATACCGCTATTTTTTGACGTTATTCGCGTAATAACGCGTTCATAAAGTCTATCGAATGGCGCTGTTTCATGGACGTACACTCATCCGCGCGCGACCATTACCACGCTTCACTTTGACCGGCAGCACGTATAATTAGGCGCAATTATGTATGCGCGTACGTTGGAGATTTGCAATTCCACTCACGTACGTGCACTACATCCGACTTCTTCGCTCATCGATATACTTGCCCTGGTATTTTCCTTATCTTCATTTTTTCTTCATTCACCCTATACATGGTCATGGTTCACCCGTATACAGGGAATGCGGATGCGCCATTGACGAGACCGTGCCAATATTCATTTTGTGACAAACACCCCTACCTCCTAATTCGTACGTCGCGCGTGTGTTTTTGCATGGCGTGTGTGACGCGAACGCAAATGACCAGGTAGCATGCAGACGTGGGAACCAAGAGCCAACTTATCTCACTGTGTTCTGGGCACCGTGTGAAGACAATCCCGCAGCTTGGTTTAGGAATCGCATTTTTGGCGCGAAGTAACGAAACATCTCTACGCGACCTCGCAGCGCTGCTGCGTATTGAAAACTTGCCAAGGTAATCGACGCAGAGCTGAGAAACGAAGGCTGTGCGCCGTCCACGCGAGCTAGTAACGCTAGTTGCTTTAGCGTGCCTCTGCGTGCGCATCCTTTTTCGCATTTTCTGTCATCGTTTAGTGCTTGTATGCCAAGGTGTGGCACCGACTTGACCGCGAAAACTTCACAAATGCGTCACCAACCCCGTGGAGCAGGCAATGCAAGGGATATATACGTGTAATGTATGCATCCGCGCCTGACAAGTGTTTTCTGCAGAAGTGCAGGTCACGATGGCTGAAAATTTTCGCTCTTAATATAACCTTGCCGAACATTCCGGCGGGTGCCC